ATCTAATTTATCTGACACCACTTACAAGACTGAAATTTAGCTATATATAAGAAATGTGTTAAATAATCATTTTTGTGTGTTTGGACAGTGTGTCAATTTCTTAATATTATATCGGTAAAAATGGTTAATTGGAAAAAAAATGTATTTTGTAAATTGTAAATAAATAGAGACGAAGTTTTGATTCATTCTTTGAAAGGGGAATTTTTGTTTTTACATGCGTTTCAAAACGATAGTGAAATAAATATATTTTTTTAAATCGACAGTATTAACAAACAATGGAGAAAACTGTTGAATTGCTAAAGTGGAAGCGTCCAGATTCATCAACATTTTGTAGATTTGATCAACGATAAATTGGCTATCGAAGATTTAACATCGATGTGGCGAACAGTAATCGAGCAAAAGACAGTTTTAGTCTGTTTTAAAGAGGGATTGAATGAAATTGTTGGTATAAGCATGAACTATGTCACATGTAAAGATGATCATTTCTATGAAAGTATTTGTCGGCAGGTAAATGAGAATTGTCGATTTTTTAAAGTCATTGCTCTATAGAGCCATTGTATACTTTCATTCAGAACTCATTCCTTTGTAGAATAAAAGTGAAAACAATAATAGAATGTACGATGTATTCCGTGTATTGTTTGATAATTTTGATATATATGAACACTACGGAGTTGATTACTACATGAACGGTGCTGGTCTTGCTGTTGCTCAAAAATATCGCGGTCGAGGTATTGGTTTGGAATTTCTGAAAACAAGAAAATCATTTTGCAACATGTTCAGAATAGAATTAACTTCAACAATTTTTACATCAAGTTTTTCGAATAATATCGCGGATAAGGCTGGATTTAAGCTCGACAAAATAAATAGGTATAAATATTCAACGAATAAAAATAATCAAATAAATAGAAAGCACTAAATATTTGGTTCTATTTTCAGCTACGAGGAAATCCGCATTAAGCATCCGCATCTCAAATTGCCTCATATTAATAGCGATGCATTAACCCTTAAATCAATGAAATTTTAAAGATGATAGATTTCAGCAGGGAGGAGGAACGGTGAGGAGCAAAATGAGGAGAAGAGCGCTGAGTTGGTTCGTCCTCCTCAGCGCTTACCTCCTCACCGCTCACACTCAGCGCTCACCCCCTCTCCGTTCATCCTCCTCACCATCAGAGGAGCAATCCCTGGATTTCAAGAATATTTTTAAAATAGAAAAAAACACGATTCCTTTTCGAACACTGTCAGAGAGATAAGAAATTTGGAAAATAAATACACAGGTGTTATTTAAAACGTGAATGCCATTAAATGCATATATATTTGGATGATCGTATTACACAATGATGGTGTACAATCTTCTAAACTCTACAAATCACATTTACATCAATTAATAAGATTTTTATTTTTCAATAGTTCATTTGTCTTGCATCTCGTTTCTTCTTCAACATATATTAATTGAAATTAGCCAATAATTTTCTTTGCGTTATGCAAACAATTTCAAAATTCATCTTTCACATCAACAGTTTTTAAATCTAAGTTGAATTTTGTGTAGATTTCTTTCACATCTTTCAATAAGTCAACGGCAGATCGAACAAATCCTTGCCATTTCACAAGTTCAGCCTCGTGTATAATTTTCTGTTGGTTCATCATATTTAGCCATTTTTCCTTCATTTCATTTGGATCACTGAAAGTCAAAACAGTATTTTTTTTTTAATCAATATAAATTCCCGTTTGCAATGTCCACAATTAACTTACCCAGTCGCTGCCAATTTTTCCAGCAATTCTTTATCTATTTGTATGCTTTCGGCTTGTTTATGCTTTAAAGCATACAATTCGGCGAGTAAATAGAGATTGAGCAAAACTAATGTGACGATTAATATTACAACAAAAATGGAAAACATGCTGAATGTTGAAAAACTTCGTTCGCTCTTGCTATGGTCTGGAACTGAGACAGCCGAACATTGCGTGCTCATTGTATTCCATTTGGATGGAGTGTTCGATGTCGGAGAAACTGTTAACTGTGACGGAGCTGTTTTTGCTGTTGATTTTAATGAAGATCTTTTGCTAGAAGCCTCTTCAACTGATTTTTGGGATAGAGCTGGAAAAAATTAAACATATTTACAGTGTTTACAGCAAATATAATAAATTTTGTGATAAAAATAGCTAATAAATTTAATCGTTTATATAAAAGAAAGCAATTTACACAAATAAAAAAAAATACTACAGGCAAATGTGATGATTTAATGCACTATCTATAACGACTGAGTGACTATCTTTTTGAAAAATTCGCACAATTCTGGTCAACACTGATTTAATTGCAATTTTGATAATTGTGTTATACATTAATGTAATTGACGTTATTGATATTGACTTTTTGCTCACCTCTTTTCGTGCGTCGGCTTTTCGATTTGGCTGGTGGTATGCAATATTCGCTTTGCAGTGCTTTTACTAAATCTTTATAAAAATTCTCCATGCCGGACCAAACGTTTTTCTCGATAAAACCCTTTATTACACCCCATACATGTTTTGTGTACTTTATTTGCACGTATACGGACAGCATTGTGTGATCGTCTACAGTTCTGAAATAATAAAAATCACTCAATGAGAGTACATTGCCTCCGCAGTGAAATTCATGAAACTTACCTCAGCAGACAGTAATGTTGTGAGATGGTGAAGCTATCCGCATAAGGAATGCCAGCATTTTGTGCAGTCACATCAATGGAATACAATTGACCAGGTACACTACAGTCACGCATCAGTTGCATCTCGGTTATCTAATGAATTAAAACGTTTAGAAAATGTTATTAAAAGTCCAATGAAAAAAATGGAAAACAAAATCACGATCTCTTACGTTAGAAGTTTTTGGGCCAACGGGCTGTGTAACAGCTACGGTGAAATTCATTGTTCGAGATTTCGTGCCGTCTCCATTATCGATCCAGTCTCTATACACCATGTTTGTTGTTTTGCGCATATTATGAAATTCGGCGAAGAATTTGGATTTGGAAAAAAGCATCGTGAGTAGGCTATCAACGTTTATTGGAAGAATTGTATGGACTAATTGTCGTCCTTCGTGCATTGATGTACATTCTGCTGTACATTCATATGGGACACTGTTTTCCTCATCGGAATCGGTTGAATTAGATGCATCGGTCGGAATTTCGTTGGCTTCCAAATCATTTCGTGTCCTCACTTTCGATTGATTTGGTCGCAGCGTCGATGAATCGCCAGCACCACTACTAGACGCGGTTGATGACATCGCCTTTGCACACAGACTGCCGTCAAATGAATGATCGGTTTCCGTTTCGGATGTTGTCGAACATTTGGATTGTGCATGAGCCAACGATTCCACCTCTTTTTCGGTCGGTTTATCCTTCGGATCAATATAATCCTCCTCGTCGTCGCTCGTTAGGCCCAGTTGTTCACCGTATGCATTGTGAACACATTGCCATATCTCCTGCGCCAACATTGATTTATTTAATAAAGCATTTTGCCATATTCGAAATAACATAAGGTATGTCTTATCTCGAGCAGCGAAAGACGTGATGAAATACTTTTCGGTTTCGGTTGTAAATAAAATAGCATTTGGAATCACTAGCGCCGTTTTTTCCTTTGTCAGAGCGGTCACATTCTTCCATTTCAGAGTTAGGAAGGTTTCCCATCCAAAAATGTTGGCATGGAAACACATATAGTGCTGAGACACATACATTCGACCATGCACCAAAATTTCACGTTGTAAAGCGCACGAATAGTCTAAAATAAAAAATTATAAAAATCGATAAAATTATAAAAATAGCCGGTGAATTAGATATAAGCATGCTGTCAGCAGAACGTTTGTGGAAAGTATTGAAGACTTTTGCATGTCTGCATACTTGGTAGCTTCTGATGATTTTTTTGGAAAAGAAAACTCTCAATTTCAATGTTAAAACACCTACCGACAATCAATCGTTGATCATCTGGAACGTCTTTGAACAATTTTTTGAATTGTTCTGAACGTGATTTGTACGACGGATAAATAACATTGTACCATGCTTTTCGTTTGGCTTTATCCGATATTTTTGAACCGGATTTCGATTTTTCAATGGCATAACACTGTTCAGAATGGCTACTGCTTACTTTTGACACTTGTAGTTCATTGCCACTTGAATTGACGGAAGTATTCTGAAAACCACAAAAAATCGATAAAAAATGAAGTGTTGTCAAATGTTTAAAATCTCAAACAAAATTACTTCGTTGCTGTCAACCATGACGCTCGTTTGTTTTAATGAATTAGCGCCAGAATCCTTATCAGTTCGATTATCAATGTTATTGTGTAGCACTGTTTCGTTCGGCGTAGCACTGTAACGATATAAACGAAGTGAGTTATAAAATAGTCAGACAATTATTGCGTTCATATCAAAAAAGATAATTAATACTTTGCAGCCGTTCTTCTCTTTTATGACTTATTATTCATAGTTTAAAATCGTAAAATCCCATACACAGAACACTTGAAACAACATTCGTATCGAAAAAAAAAAAATTCAAAAGAAGAACTGACACGTATTCACGTATAGCGAATACCGATCGTAGTACAAGTGTTTTGAAAACATTGCATCACAAATGCTGTTTAATTAGTAATTAAAAAAACACGGAGAATTCTCGCTCACCTTTCGCTACCCGAATTTTTCTCTGCCAATGTTACATTCGACATAATACTGCTTTGTACAAGTTCAATCACATCAAATAGAATTTCTTACATGTTCATTCATCAAAACACAAGCACACAACTTTAATCGAATCTTGTATTAAGACATAAATAGAATAAAATATTTCAAAATTTAACAATAAAAAAGGATGACCAATGGATTTTTTTCAAATATCCATAGAGTCATACACAAAAAAAGTTTCGACTATTTTGAGATCATTTCAAGTACGAATTCACTTGATTTATCAAAAATAAAGCATAATAGTATTAAATATGGATTTTGACAGTTGCGGCGATGCTGTGACTTGACATTTCAATCGATTCAGTGTGGCCCGACGCAAATGTAAAAAGAGAGGGAGAGTAAGTGTGTGAGATAGAAGTTTTACCGATTCTCCGGCCTTTTATTTTTTGTTTATAATTTCGTTTTTTTACTTTTTGAATGGAAACTATTTCGAAAAAAATATTTTCTTCCAATGTAGTTTCACAACTAATGAAGAGAGTTCAAAATTATTTGTATGTATACATTTGTCCGGTATGTCGTTCATTCTCTGTAGTAAAGTCATGGAACGCATCCGACAGAAAAAAATCAGCTGAGATGTGAGTGTGCAAGTAACTTGGTGTTTTTAACAAAGAGCACCTTGCTGGTGTGCGTCAAATCCGTATTCATATACGAATAAACGTTTGAATTTTGAAATGTATGTATAACGTATATCATTTTACTTTGTGTAACGCTGCTGTATATATGCAATTTTGTAGAAAATTGTTTGCATAAAAACTTAAAAAAAAAATCATCACAAATTAAGCAACAAAAAGTATTCTAACTATATTAAGACGATTTGATTTATAATTCAGCAAAAATAAACAAAAAATATCATCGTAGTTTTCCACACATTCATCAAAGTGAATCACACTCTGCACGCATCATATAGTCACCATTTTTTTTAATTACTAAGAAAAGTACTTACAACGGGAATTCGAATTAAGAAAAAAAAAACACTTTTTTTTGTTTTAAAAAATGTCACAGTTTGCTTATATGAATGAAATCAAAAGCGCACTCATAATGGAAGGCGACATAAGTAAAGGACCAATGCCGCGATGGCAGAAAAAACTAAATGGATCGTCAGCCAATCTAAATGCAAGTGCAAATACATCAAAAATATCCATTTCATATAACTCAATACTGAGTACATCGACGACAGCACCAGCCATCAATAAAACACCACAGAAAAATAGTTCAGTTAACTTCAAAGGAAAATCACCAGGTACCATTTAGAGAAGTTTTTCTTTCGCTTTTTTATGGGCTAACCTCTTTTTGTGTCGATTTTTGACATTCAATTTTATAGGAAGAAAAACACCAACACCAAACAAAGGAACATCGGGTGGATCAAAGACACCTTGTGGTGCCAACGGCGGCGATCGATTCATTCCAAACCGAGCTTCATCCAACTTTGATATAGGCCATTATAAGGTACAAAAACAAAATGTTTTCATGTTTTTTTTACTTCTACTCTGTTCATTGAATAACAATAAACAAAAAAAATCGTATTCACAGATGAATATACAAAAAAATAGTAGTGATGAAAATGAAGAAACTAATCGCGCTGGTGATCGACAGAAAATTCTCTCCGAAGCCATGGAATTGGGTGATGTCAAGACACGACGTGTCTTCTCGTATCAAGAGAAAGCACCGGCAGCACCGGAGTCACATCAAAATCCATTGCGTGTTGTGTATTCAATTAAGACGCCAATGTCAACTAAAAGTGGTTCTCGTTATATTCCGACAAGTCCAGAACGAATTTTAGACGCTCCTGACATTATTAACGATTATTGTAAGTTTTTTGGATTACTTTTTATCAAATTATGATTGAAACCAAATCGAAAGTCGAGAATTATAATAAATGTCAAATTGAAACGTCAATTTTTATGCAAAAATATTGTTCAAATTAAAATTAGATTATAAAAATGTGATTTTTTTAATGAAATCAGTCACGGCTATTACCTAAGTATCAACATTCGTTTCGTTTACAGACTTAAATTTGATGGATTGGAGTGCATCAAATATCGTGACTGTTGCATTAGGAAAAATTATTTATCTGTGGAATGCTGGCACTGGAAATATTGAACAGTTGCGAGAGTACGATAATGGTGACCATGCATGTTCGTTGGCTTGGATTCAAGAAGGAAATGTTTTGGCAATCGGTGCCTCTGACGGCACGGTTGAACTATGGGACGCCGAAGCGAAAAAACGGTATAAATTGCAATTATTTCTATGTTTTTTTCCTCCATCAACATTCAAATCCATGCCTAAGATTTGATTTTGATTCATTTTAAATGTAGATTACGTGTAATGGACGGTCACACAGCCAGAGTTGGATCGTTGGCATGGAATTCGTACATCATTAGTTCGGGTAGCCGTGACGGTTCAATTATTCATCACGACGTTCGGCAACGTGATCACAAAGTGACAACTCTAAACGGGCATACACAAGAAGTATGTGGCTTAAAATGGTCAACCGATTTCAAATACTTGGCCAGCGGCGGCAATGACAATTTGGTAAACATTTGGCCATCGGTAACGGGTTCAAATGCAGGTGTAAATACATCGAGTGGTGTAACCGAAGCACTGCATGTATTCAATCAGCACCATGCAGCCGTTCGAGCATTGGCATGGTGTCCATGGCAACCAAACGTACTAGCCAGCGGTGGTGGTACAGCTGATCGCTGTATCAAATTTTGGAATGTTAACAATGGCACGCTTATTGATTCGATCGATTCCAAATCACAAGTGTGCTCATTACTGTGGTCAAAAACGTAAGTAACACAAAAAAAATCTGAATGCATTTCAAAATTTGAATTCAATGACCTTTTTCCATACAATATTAGGTACAAGGAAATTATTTCGGCTCACGGATTCGCCAATAATCAATTGACAATTTGGAAATACCCTTCAATGCAGAAACAATGTGAATTAACGGGGCATACAGCTCGCGTACTACAAATGGCAATGAGTCCGGATGGCAGCACTGTTATGAGCGCCGCAGCTGACGAAACACTTCGATTGTGGAACTGTTTTGCGCCAGATGTTCATCAAGCGAAAAAAGATAAATCGGCCAGCAAACTAGGACCAAGTATATTCCGACCAAATATTCGTTAATATTTCGAATAGTAGAATCATCAGAAGACCAACAATTCATTTTCCACATCGATTGTTATGTTTGAAAATACATTCCATCTGTTAAATGAATCGACTTCTTATTGTTTGCCATACAATTTAGGGGAAAAAAAATCTTTCTTTATAGAATAATTCTCAACTGTTACAGACTGATATTTCATGTACATTTTTTCCGTTTTGAAGTATTTTTTATTATTATTTTCGATACATTTTTTTTCTTGCATTATCTCTTTTAGTATTTCAATTTCATCAATACACAATGTCTTTACATATTCTTTTATGGTTGTTTTTGTCTGTAAAACGCATTTTCTTTTTTAAATTGAAATATCAATCGAGAGATTCGCTGCCATCATGTTTTAGATCATTTTACTGAATAATTCTCGTTTATCATATGTTTGATTTGTTTAGCAATAAAAAAAAACGAAATTTTAACTCTGAATAAACGGGAGACTTCAGCCCATGTTTTCACCATTATTAATTCATTTCATGTACGCCTATATATTTTGCAAAATCATGATATTTAATTATCATTGCTTCAATTGCATTCTGGTCATTTCATGCAATCTTTCCTGATTACTTAGATCATCGCTCAAAACAAGAGTGATAAGATGCCGTTTGAGTAACGGTTGTTCTTTCCATTTGAAAATAAAACACAATATTTGTACATTTGCTAAAATATACCAGTATTTTTTTATTACGTTTCTTCGATATTACGCCAAAATTTCGGTGCACATCTTTGCCAAAGTTGAAGCTCGGAAGAATAATTAAAATTTTATTTTGTTGTCATACATACAAGCAGCAAAGTTGAACACACGAAATAGTGTGTAGTAAATCACAAAGCGAAAATTCAATGCTAAAGCCTAGAACCAATTGTAGTCGTGCTAATAGGTCAAGTTCATAAAATTCTTAACAACAAAACGAAAAATAAGTGCAAACAAACAAAAAGCGAAAAAAATAGACGTGTCTCTATTGATTTGATTACGGCACTTCTAGATTGGTTTGTACAACAAAGTGGTCACGTATTTTTTCCGATATCTATGAGTAGCGCTGAGCACCATTACACCATCTTTAATGGATAATGCGTACAAATGATTTAGCATTACGTGATTTGGTTCGGGCAACAACGTCGGTTCACACTGAAAATTTGACGAAAAACAACATTCGTTGAATGAATGTAACAAAGCCAATTTTGATGAGCTGTACTAACCGATAATGGTGTGTCTTTGTTCAAAATGACTTGAAGAAGATGCGGCGGCAAGACTGGTGGTCCTGCTCCCCATGGTTTATCTGAAGGGATATCCTGGCCCCATTCCTTTTGTGCACTGTTCACACTATCTTCGCTATCCTTGGCCAAGGCCTGGAATACTTCGAAATCGGATTGTCTCACCGATACCAAATTATTCTTGGTTCCAACGTCATTGTCAACGTGTTTCTGCCCAAATGATAAAATACCAAACATTTCACAATTTAAATCATTACATTTGGCAACTTACTTCATTCAATTTATTAATGGTCTTACCAATTTTTGATCATGTCTCCATTCACCATCTACACAAAATTTGTACTGATGTTCACCTTCTGGCAAATCAACGATTGTTACGAAATCGCCATGACTCTTGACCATCGGTATTGCCTTCCATTCGGAAAATGTACCGCTGATGAATACCTCTTTGCCGCCACCATCCCATTTGAAGACAGTTGGGAGCACTTTTGTTGTTGGATCAATGTTCGTATTTTGCGATGCAATTGGCAATGCTTCGGTTGTGACTGTGCTAGTTGTTGTTGATGTTGTTACAATTGGTTCAACTGTGGTCGTAACTGGTTTTGTATAATATGGTTCTTCTTCTTCATGCGATGAACCTTGATACTGTGACAATGCTTTGTCCGATTTTTTATCAAAAACAAAGGCTTGACCATCTTTTAACACTGGCGAACTGGGCATATCACTCGAACTCGATTTATGACGTTCGCGCGGAATATTACTGCTCCCTGCATTTCCCATTGTTTACAAAATTATTTGCAATTTTTTTCTTTCGTTTCACAATGATTTCGTACAATTTAGTTCAATTATGTCGCAATTGAAATCGATTTCAATTACATTTACAAAGAAAACAAATAATTTAATGTGAATGAATTTCCAAATGTTTACTTTTTTCTAGAAAAAAAGAATAATATTTTTTTCGACTATGAATACTTTTTTCTTATATGAAAGACGAAAAAATAAAAGAATAAAAATAAAGCAATTGATAAATGTCAAAACAAAGATGGAGGCACAGTTTTTGACAGTTCGTTTGTGAGAGTGTTTTTTCCCCTCTCTCTCTATTGTCGTCTTTTGACATTTCGATTCATGCTCAAATCATATGAGTTTATCGTTGTGCATTCAACGGATGTTTTGTTTACTCTGCTGCGTATTTTCATTCCATCTCGTTAGCGACCAAAGTAAAATTCAATGAAAAAATAAATTCGGATCTTTTTTCTGAAGAAAAACAATAAAAATGTGTTCATTAAGTAGTGGTGAATTGAATTGTGCAATTGAAATAACGCACATCATTAATCCGCACCTGTTTTGGTTCGAATATAAAAATATTAAGTTAACAAATGCCGGTGAAATAGAAGATGCATTGAAAAAATATGCAAAAGAAAATGGCGATACAAAAAGCGCCGATAAGTCGAATGGAAGATATCGCTGCGAACCGGTGGTGGCGGTCTTTTCATGTTCGATGAAAAAATGGATTCGGGCCAATGTTGAAGCTACCGACGAGCCACTCAAACCAAATGAAATAATTTTGTGGGCCATGGACTATGGTTATCCGATCAAAAGCACGTTGGATTTGGTTTTAATATTGGACATCAAGCTTAAGAAAATATGCTACACAACACCTTCCAATGTTGTTAAGGGTGGCATTTATCAAATAATGCCGGCAACAAAGACAATGAGTGTAAGTTTCTCCATAAAAAAAATTCAATTAAATTCAAATAGATTGCGAAAATCAAATTTATTTCACAAATTAGAAAGATGGCAAGCAGTTGCGCATCCTCCATTCGGATAAATGGGATCAAATAGCGATTGAACACTTGGTAAACATGAAGTCACATACAGCCATGAGCATGTACTTCGATAAGAAATTTGAAACAAACAATCATGCGCTAGGCACACTATACCTGAAATATAATCAAGTTGGTAGAGTGAATCAAAAGTCGGTAGCTGATATACTATTAAAAATGGAATTGGCTACTGCGTTATCACCGGAAAAATTTGAAAAACGTGAGAGCCAAAACAATAATAAAATATATTAGTTCAAATTGAACCGTTCAAGTCATTCAATCTTTTTTTCTTTCTTTTGAAATTCAGAAATCGTTGGCAGTGGAACAATCAAAATCAGCCGATGGCTCGACAACAACGGTGATCTGAATTGTATGGACAACATTGAAAAGAAATCAGATCAGTCTAGAGCAGGTTCATCAGCTGATTTACAACATGTGGCCGAAGTTCCAAGTCCCGAAGTGAAAGTATTCGATCAACACAAATTGATCAGAAAGTTTTCGAGAATTCAAATTATGGAAACGGCGGAAAATCAAAGCCGATCATCTGGTAGGTCGTCAAAAAGTCAAACGGAAGCATCCCGTACACAATCAGAATTGGAAGAATCAGAACCAGTGGCGACGACGTCCGGTAGAGCTGCACTTAAAGAAAGATTGAAAAAAGTACAAGAAACACAGACAACGTCACCAAAGCCTAGAGAAAACACCGCACAATCCAATGCATTGGCATCCGAATCTGCACGCTTATTACAGACAGTTGAACCTGGGTAAGTAATCACATATCTTTTCAAAACGTTTCATGAAATATAAACAAACATCAAAATCTACTCAATAAAAACCATTGTATACACAAGAATGGTGACTACACAATTGATTCCTTGAAAACACTCAACGTATTATGAGTACAGTTTATACAATCAAATGCAATTTCAATCAACACCATTTATCGAGAAAACAGTGTTGATATTATCTTACATTCTCTTTAAGTCGCTCGTTCCCTTTGCATTTTCTTTTCTATATTGAAAAAAAGTGGCGAGAATTTAGCTGACACTGTCATTTGTTTGTGTGCAAAGCAATCGATGTATGAGTGTACGACAAATATAAATAGACGGAGTAAGAGGAGACGAAACTTAGTTTTGTAGAAGAAAGAGGAAAAATGCTACGTGATATCATTTTTTCAAATGCTTCAAATATTTTCACTGACGCAATGACAATAAACCAAATTCAGAAACATCGATTTTTATGTATACAAGCGTCCCATAGCTCTCTCGCTCTTTCTCTTTGTCTCTCACTTTCTATGTTTCTCTGTTCCAATGCACCTCTCACCATTCAAAATGCGAAGAATCGTGTATTTACGGGAATGTTCGAAAATGTTGTTCACAGACCAATCATTCCATGCAAACACACACACACACACACACAAACACAGACATAAAACTCCGTCATACCGGACAACATTCTAAGAAACCTAACAGTGCAACATGTGATTTATTCCGGCGACAGTTCAAAAGCAGAAAGAATTACTTTAAATTGATGCTGGACATTGCTTTAACTGCTCGATAATAAAATTCGATTTATAATCAAATTTTGCCAACATCATCTTCTCTCTCTTTACTTAACTCACACCACTTTTTTTTTATTTCTCATTACCTTGCTTTGGTGTAAATATTTTAAATTCTTCCCTCGTTGATCTCAATTTATTTGGAAAAATATTTTTTAACCTCTTGCAGATTGGTGAGTAAGATAAAGAGCACACCGATTTTCATTCGCAACAACGACGAAGAGCCGCTTGAAACAGTAAAGCAAGCAAACTTCACCGACGCTGTGCACAGAGGTCTGAAAAAAATGAACTATCAAGAAACATACGTGTCACAAGGATATGCTTGGTTTGTATTCGATTGAATTCGTTCTAAATAAAAATCCGCATGTTTATTAAATCGTATATTGTACTTTCGCAGGCCGAATCTATTGCGAGGAAATTCATTGGTATTGGTTAACTCGCAAAATTCTGGAAAAACAATGGCATACCTTCCAGCACTCTGTTCATTAGTTCATGTGAGACGATTTCATTGACATTTATTCGAACCAATCTAAATAGTAAACTTTTTAATAATTTTCCAGCGAAAGCTCGATGAAGCCAAGAAAAGCAAGACAGATCAAAAAAAGTCGGGATTGGGAATGGGAGTTACGGCCATCATTGTTTGTTTATCATCAGGTGTTCAAAAGATTGTTGAAGATTGTCGCCAAATTTTACAAATGCGTGAATTTGAATGTCATGTTATTGAAGGAATTGGGAAACATCATGCCACGAACGTTACGGTAAGAAGAAAGCGATACGTTTTCCACAAATTTCACATTTTCCGGAAAAATCGTTCATTTTTTTCTCAATTAGATTAAACTTTACAATGGTAGTAACATTTTGGTTACGACCGCACCGTGCCTTACGGAATTATTGAAAAAACAAAAGCATGTCATCAACAACGAAAAGTTAAAGTGCATTGCATTCGAGAATTTGGACTGCATCATGGAAAAACATCCGGAAATGTGTGCAGATATCATCAAAGATTTGTGCCTTCGTAAATCGTACAAAGGGGATGTGAGACAATTTATTGTCACTTCACGCACTTGGAACAAAAACTTGTCAAATTTCCTGAAAGAAGACTATATCGCTGATTCCGTCCTAATCATTGGAAATTATTTAGAGGCTTCGTTTTCGGCTGGTGTTACGCTGAACTTCCGATTGTGCCTAAATCATTTGAAACTCGACCAACTAAATAGTAGGCAGAGATTCTTTTTTATATTGAAAATTGACAAACAATAATATGATTTCTGTTTTTAGATCACATTCAATCGATGAAGGTTCAAACGGAACGAACAATGATTGTGTGCAATGAAATGGCCGACGCTGAACAAGTCGCCGAATATCTTGATAAAAAACAAATTCCAAACCTAGTGATCAAAGAATTTCACTCAAAGTGTAAGTCATTTTGAATTACAATTCAAAATTATTCGGCAAATTTTTGAAATTTATTCATGAATTTATTGCAATAGATGCGATATCGAGAACCAAAGCATTTTGGGATAAAATTGAAGGTGTTCTCATATGTACCGATGAACATTTGGCTACCACACAAATTCGGAATGTACAACATATCATACATTTTTCCGTACATCGGGAGAAATATCAACCGTTTTTGAATCGATTTTCATCGTTATTGGATTTCATTGCTGATGTAAGTAACCAAACACATGATTTCTCTGGAAATCCAGTAAATTTACAGTACAATTCGTTCGTAGGAAAAAAATGCTAAGAAAGCAACATCCACTTTATTCATTGACGACCACAATTTCAAGCAATTGCCGAAGATGGTCTCACTATTAACAAGAGACCGGCAAAACGTGCCAAAAGAGTTGCTCGAATTAAGTCAGGTAAATCTTTCTTTTCCTCAAAAATGAACCGACTTCGACAAGATATCAAAAAATCAAATATTTGAATTAAAAAATGGTTTTATTTGAATTTCAGCAAGCCCGTGCCCTAAACCGAATGGAAAAGGCCGAAAAGCAACGCTATCACTCGATTTGTAACTCGCTTTTTATGCACGGCAACATCGAGCATCAGGCCACCTGTCAATATCGTCATTTGATATTACCGTCCGACATTTTAATTGGTGATAAAAATGACATCAAAAATGGGCTGCGTTTCAATGTACTAAAAGTCATAAGTCCAACGGAATACATAGTGCAGCCAATCAGTCATGCCGACGCTATTGATAACATTGGCCGTTACGGGGAATGGCAAACTTTCAATAAATCAAATGAATTTGACCAATTCAATTCAGAGCTGCAATTGCACTACAAAAACATGACCAATCAAAAGATGCTTCACACATTCGAACTGGGAAAATCATGTGTCATTTCCATTCGGGAAATTTTCTACCGTGCCGAGATTATGCAAATTATTGAAAAACGGTACGTATTTTCGCGATTGAACTCAATGAATTCCGTGTAAAATTTCTTTTTGAATTGCAGAAATCTTGCCGGCTCTGATAAGTATCAAGTACGCCTCATCGATAATGGGGACATTGAACTAATGCATGCAAGCGAACTCTATACACTGGAAAAAGAATTCAAAAGTATGCCACGCCAAGCATATCATCTTCATTTGACCAGGTAAGGACAGTCTTTTTTCTCCCAGAACGCAACCAACATTTTTGAATATGTTTTTTTAAACTCCTCGATCAGCATAATACCGGCTGACAAAGAAGATGACTGGGATCCACGTGTAAGTATTCGAATGTTTTAAAATGATGATGATGAATAATTTAAACATGGTTTTTTTAATCATAAATAAATAGGTGTGTGAAAACATTCGAAATCATATAAATAAAACGATCGCAGAAGGAAGCGATCTCATATTCGAAGGAAATGTAGTTTTTACGCTACGCAATACAATTGTCGTTGATATAATGCGACTAATCGATTTGAAGGACATCATTGTTAAATTTTATGTAAAAAGATACTTAATGAATGTACTCAAACAGGGCGAATCATCAAAAGCAAGCATGAAAAAGGTGGTTGAAATGGTCAAAGCTGAGGGTGAGTTACATTTGAAACATTTCCAGCATTTTGTGAAATCTTCTAAAACTGATTCAATGACAAATAGGTGTGAAAATTAAGCCAAAAATACGAGGAAATGCTGTCGCTGAAACAAATGCAGTAGTTTCACCCAATGTATCAGCCGCAAATATTAACAATGAATCGATAAGTAGTTATGTTGAACCTGAGAGCCCAGGATGTTCATTCGATGATTTAGCAAGCGAAACTACGTCGCAAGGTGATTGTGATGAAAAATGGGTGTCACCATGGAAAATTCAGCACAAAAATGTGCACATTTCCCAATTCGATTTTCCATCGTGTTTTTACGTGGTACATTCGTCTAAAGAGTATGTATTATATCAAAATTTCGTATTTAACTTTGACGTTTTAATTAAAATACAATCATTTTAATTCAGGCTCGATGAGATGTACAAGGCAATTAACAAACATGTGGAAGAAAACATAATTACATCACTGGATGATTCCATGGAGGAACCGGATGTGTATAAATACTGTTTGGTACGGATTGACGACGATTTCAATCGTGCCAAAGTATTGGAAGTTCTTTGTGGAAATGACGGAATTATGATTAAAGTTTTTTTGGTTGATGTTGGATTGATTAAGGTCGTCAACATGGACCAAGTTTATGATATACCCGACAATCTCATTCAAATGCAACCATTCCAGGTACTATTGATATACTCATTCATTTTGTTAAGACGGTGATGAAAATATTTCCGATTTTTTTTAAAGGCTATCTGGTGCAATTTGGTTGGCATAAAATCGAATGAAATGAAAGATGATGGAACTATTTATTGGAGTGAAGAAAGAATTGATGAAATCTACAATACAATCGATCAATATGGTGCTAACCTCATACTGCACACAGTTTCTTCGAATAAATTCGCTAAAACTTATGTGGCAGACACAAAAATTACTTGTCATGATGTTGTGCTGTTAGCTGTAAATGACGCTGAACAAATCAATATCAACGAAATGCTTGTCGAACAAAAATTGGCCGAATTCGATCCAGAGACGAAGCATCAATTGGAAAATGTACCTGATGTGACCGGTAAAGATAATGACAGCGATAACGAAAATTGGGATAATGATTTCGATCCAAATAATTCATGGGAAATGGTATACAATACACCACCGAAAAGCACAGAAACATCATGTGAAATGGACTCGTTTGATTTCGAATCTCTTGACAAGTACTTGAATGAAGATGATAGTCAACTCGACGAATTTTTGATTGCTTTGAACTTAAAAGAGCCGTCAACAACCGAAGTCAACGAAGCCGTAGCAGGAAGAGGAGATACTGGGTATGTATCCGAGGAAACGAATGATAACGTCAGTGAAAGTTTTAACGACGAAAAAAGTGAAGATGCGGTAAAATATAGCATCGACGATAATCATCATCAACTCGAATACATTTACAAACGACCACGTATCTACTGGTTCCAATCGGATGAATATATTGTTTTGAAAATATCTGCACACGATGGCGTGAAGTACAATCTGGAAATAACGTGCGATCAACTCATTTATAGGTAAAATTGCCAATGAGATCCAATTAAAAACGGAAAAATCCGTAATTTTTGAATGATTTCCTTTTCAGCACTACCGAAAATGAAGTAAAAACTGTAGCAATCATACGATTTTTTGGTTGCATTGATCAGGAACAAACTGAACACAATGTACGTGGTTTGAATGTGATGATTCGATTACACAAATCGTGTCCGGTAAAATGGTCTCGCTTACGTTCAACAACGGAAAAATGCAACTGGATAATACAAAATGTAGAAGCATTCAAAGACGAAGATTTCTATTCGCAAGCCAGAAATACATTTGGTAAGAAAAGCACGATTTATAGTGAATAACGGTTGATTTAACTTTGATTTTTTTCTTCTAATTGCAGCAAAAGTGGAGCGCAACGTCGAAAGCGATGAAGAAGAAAATGAAGAAATCAAAGCCAAATCGAATCCATTCGAAGAAGATGATCGATCATTTGATGAAGCTATTTCAGATGATGTTTCAACTCAATAAAATGAGGACACATACTTGTGCTCATTGCCTTTTTTTCTGCTTCCAAACATTTACAAAACTAGAGCTCATTGGTCTCAGACCCAAAAAATTCTATCACATTTTTATTTACTCATAATTTTTAGTACATAATATTCATTTTCTTTTCACTTTATCATAAAACCCATAAAAAAGTGACTTACAGTCAGTCAAGAATAAATGAATTGATTCAAAATTTTACACATCGAAGTGAATCAAACTAAGAAAGAATTCAAAGCACGACGATGGCAAGCAACGTTGATAGCAGCGCCGTTTGAAAGTTTGCCAGCCAAACCAGACGGCCATAGTGAAGTTGCGCTGATATCATTATCGTTGTGCTTTGAAAGAATTCAATGATTTTTAAAAAGAAAAAAAATAACATGTTTACTCCGATTGTGAAAAAAAAACCCTACTATGTTCAGATGGCTGTGTTCAATGTATTTCTGGACCCTCGAAATTTTCAAATCATCGCAGTCGGATATTTTGAGACGTTAGTATTCTAAATGCAAAGTTGACTATAATCGACTATAATCGTCTTGTTTTGAATTAATCCCATATAAACAGTCAAAACGTCCCAAGCTAGGAGGCTAGGGAACCAATATTTTTACACACTCATTATTAAAAAGAAAACAAAAATATAAATAACTAATAAATTTGCGCATTTTTATTACAACGATGGTATCTAATAATATTTAGTAATATGGTAAAGACTTCCATTGATAGGCAAGTGGTTCGTCGTAAATGGTTGATAAATTGCTAATTAACCCAACCGAATATGTTCGCTATGTACATGAGAACATTTGTTCGTGAATTTCATTTTGTAGTTTTTACTGCGACGGCTTCTTCTTCTTTACTTAATTGCATTTCAAATTCAAGATTGATAAGAAAAGAATGATGTTCAAGTCTGAAATACATGGTATGTATAATTCTATGCATTCAGAATGCACCACATGTTTGCAGAAAGAATCCACAAAACATTCATGCTTATTTTCATGTAAGAAATCGCTTCAACAAGATTTTTTTTTTAAATTACTAACAGACACTTTAAAATACGTAAAAGTAAAATCAATAAAGTACAGTAAACAGCTCAAATCATTGGACTTATAATACGGAACATTTGAAAAACTAAAAGGCTGTCATTTTCTTATTCACCAAATAGCTTATATATCTTTATTGTAAATTGATTTTCTTTAAAAAAAAATTATTCGAAAGAGATCACTTGTCATTGAATTTCCAAGCCTGACGACACATTGGACACTGTTGTGCTATTGGTTGCGAATTGAGCCATTTGACGATGCAATGCATGTGAAAGCAATGTGAACATGCTCCCCAAACTGTGAATCAAAGGTATCAAAATCAAAAATTAATTTTCAGAGGGTCAGCGAAATCATAAAATCTTACCCAACGGACAGTCATCACCCGGTAATGTGCATTCTGTACAACAGCTCTCGAATGGCATTCGGCAAATTCCACAATTATCATCGTTTGCTATCCAACGCCAAGTGGCCACGCTCACCCATTCTAAATTTAAATGAAAACAAAAAACACCGAACAGAATCGTTAATACCAACTAAATATACACATCATTTTGAGTGTAAATCACACCGTAGAGTTGTTTGTATAAAAGAAAATAAATTTCAACTCACTTTTAATTTTCACCTTCATTTTTCTTGCGTGCCTTTTCGTATATTTTGCACAAAAAGATCTTTTCTCTTATGAATTGAATTCTATTTTATTAATTTTCTTGTTTTTAACAGAATTTACGTTAGATTGGTTGCGAAAAAGGTACACATCAAAGTTGATTGTTTGAACGTTAATATTTTGACAGGTTATATGTGTTGACGTTTAAAATGTCAAACAAATAAGTTGTTTGTTAAAGAAATGTTGAACTTTTCGCGCTAACCAAAATCATCGTGGAATTGCATCAAAATAGGACAAAGAGGTGTGAAACAAAAGCAGTTCAGTGGAAATAATAAGATTTAGAGGTAAAAATCATAATAAAATCTGCGTTGACAAACGTTTTTCAATACATTTCGGTTTGCTTTTTTTCGAAAGACGCTGTGCAGAAAAGGCGCCAAATAAATATATCCGTGCAAATGGAAATGAGTTTTTGGGATTTGTTTTACTCATATATTTGTGTTCACTTGAAGCATAATGTCAAAACAGGCATCGTTGTTGAATTTTATGTCTCGCAATGATAAAGACACCACCAAAACACTAAGCTCCAGTAATTTTACGGCACCTGTAAAATCAACAGGCAAGTTTAAATTCAACAAAAAATCGTCATCACGAATACAACCACAGACGAACACTGACGAAAATCGTCCATTGAATACGATTGAAAGTAAAGCAAATGTTGAGAATAATTCTGTTATAAAGCCAATTGATTGTGTTATAATTAGCGATGAAGAGCATAGTTTAAGTCCAGTGAAAAGCATCAAAGCAACAAAAATGGATGAAAATGAAGATGATATGTTCAAAGAATTCAAATCAAATGATTTGTCATTCACACGAGCATCGTCATTGGTGGGAAGTGATTTGAAAACAATGGACGACATATTTGCAAAGTATGGATCACCAGGTACCGATAATAAATCCACATTTGATTCGTTGGATATTGATAAAGCGCTCAATTCAAATGCGTCGTATGTGAATGCCAAGAAAAAACTCGATGAAAACATGGAACAATTGCGAACGTCACCGAAGAAACCGATCGGAACGAGCAAGTTCAAATTTAATACACGATCAAAACCAACGACTTCAAGTGGTCAAAATACAACTCTAGTGTCAGCACCCAGCACGAGCAACAGTACAAACAACAATTTCACATTTTCAAGCAGTATTATTGCGCGCGATAAAACATCGACCACGCCATCGATTTCGACATCAAATTCGATTTCCAGTTCATTGTCAACCACAGTTTCAAGTTCGATATACACGTTTTCTCCAGAGAAAAGCGTACGAAATGACTCAACGTCGACAAATACTTTACAAACCAAGTCGTCTTCATCGATAACAAACACACGAACTACAACAGTGCCAGTGCCAGTGCCAATTGACAATGGACCTGTTGATTCATGCAACGCCTTGGAATCATCGTGAGTCATTTAATGATGGCTCTAGAATAAAAACAGCATTTTATTGTAATTGTCGTTTGTATGAATTACTATAACAAATCTATGTGAAAAAACGTCTGGTTTCATTTTGATATGCAACTCTTTAATACGCTGTTTTTATTCTATAGCAATCAAATTTTCAGTTTCCGATTTAATGCCATATAAAAAATACATTTTTATTCAATTATTTAGAAATGATGATCTTTCGTCGCCAACTACTTCGTCGAGTGGTACGAAGAAGGATCCATTTGCCCAAATCGATGCATTCTTGAGTAAAGTAAAAGCCGGTTGTACGTCTTCGCCGCAAGTTCAAAAAAATCTGCCCGAACTGCGGAAGCATTCAACGCAAATGGAACAATTGTACATCGAATCTTTGGAGAAATATTGCGAAATATTTGATTCACTACCTCAAACGACAATGCAAGCGATTTTCGGAAGTAATGCGGAAACATTCTACAAATTGAAGGTGCAGAAACAAGGACTGAAGGCTAAAATTGCAATGAGTAAGAAATCAATAAGCAAATTGGAATCGGAGGAAGTGCACGATCTTACTGATTTTGATGATGTAATGCCAGCCACCTCGTCATCGAATTACAGTAACGCAACGTCTTTCGATAACACACGCCCATCGACGTTTGAATCTATTAAGCCGTCCCTTTACGACTCCAATCCAAAACCAAGCCCAACCATTCATGGTTTTGACGAGGATATTTTTGCCGATGAATGTGATGAATTCGACTTGTTAGTTTCACAAAGCGGTGACGCTAAGGGTCAAAGCTCAGGTAATCTAACGAATTACGGCTCACCGGTACCAACTACAACATCGCAAAACAGTCAAAAATCAAATAGCAGCCACTTGGGCAATTTCTACAGTGGCACGAAGAACGATGGCCTCACTGGTGAATTCGATGGATATGGTTTTCCGCATTCGGAATTAATGCAAACATCATTGCGATACACGTTCGGCTTAAAATCCTTTCGACCAAATCAATTGCAAGCGATTAACGCAACCATGTTGGGACTGGATTGTTTTGTATTGATGCCAACGGGTGGAGGAAAGTCACTTTGTTACCAACTGCCAGCGACGTTAACGGAGAAGGTAACAATTATCATCAGTCCGTTAAAATCGCTTATTTTGGACCAAGTAAACAAATTGCAAGCTCTCGACATCAATGCAAAAAATTTAAGTGGCGAACAAGCACTCCAAGACGTGAATAACATATACAGGGAACTCGATGCCTCACCACCAACCGTCAAAGTTTTGTATGTGACACCGGAGAAAATTTCCGCTTCAGCGCGACTCCAGGATGTCATGCAGAGACTTTACAATAACCAGCGTGTCGCACGGTTTGTTATCGACGAAGCGCATTGTGTTAGGTACTTACCGATCAAAGTTCGAATTTCTTTTGGGATAAAGTGATTCCAATCATAACTTGTATTGTCTATTCTTCGTTTCAGTCATTGGGGCCATGATTTCCGGCCGGATTACACAAAGTTGGGTGTGTTGAGACAACGTTTTCCAAACGTGCCGGTCATGGCATTGACGGCAACCGCTACAACTCGTGTCCGAGCCGACATTGTGCAGCAATTGAGTTTGAAGAATTGCAAATGGTTTTTGAGCAGTTTCAATCGGCCGAATTTACAATACATGGTCAAAGCGAAAAGTGGTGTCAAAACAATCGAAGAGATCAAAGAATTGATCAAAACCAAATTTCCACGTGCATCCGGCATCGTATATTGTTTGTCGCGCAAGGAATGCGATCAAATGGCCGAAAGCCTTAAAGCCGTTGGCATCAAAGCGGCTAGTTATCATGCCGGCTTGGCCGATAAAAAGCGCGAAGAAGTACAAAAGGATTGGATTACCGACAAATTCAAAGTTGTGTGCGCAACCATTGCTTTTGGTATGCATTATTTGTTTGTATTTTTCTGCGATTGAAAAACCAACTCAACATTTAATAACCTTTTTCAATGTTTTTCTCTATAGGAATGGGTATTGATAAGCCAGACGTGCGTTATGTGCTACACTACTCGTTGCCAAAATCCATTGAAGGCTACTATCAAGAATCAGGCCGCGCTGGCCGAGATGGCTTGAAGTCAATTTGTATTTTATACTACAATTACGGTGATATGATGCGTTTGGTAAAATTGATGGATTTGGATGCGTCAATTAGCTTGGAAGTGAAGCGTGTGCACACGAATAATTTGCGAAAAATTGTTAATTATTGTGAAAATGTTATCGATTGCCGGCGATCAATTCAGTTGAATTATTTTGCGGAGAACTTTACTCGCGAACAATGCTTGGCCGAGCGGGACACCGCTTGTGATAACTGCTTGAATAACGACGGAGACGCCAAGTTTACCTTGAAAGATGTCACCGAAGAATGCAAAAAAGTAGTGAAAGCCGTACGCGATTTATGTAGCAAAGACTCACAACGTGTTACATTACTGCAAATGGTGGAAGTTCTATTGGGAAAAACGGTGAAAAATGTTGTGGCAAACGGTAAGAGGGTTCAGTTCATATTCGATTTCCAGCGTTTTGGCTTTATTCAATTGTATTTCATTCCATGATCGCTTTACATTTCACAGGTTTCCACGAATCCACACATCACGGTTTATTAAAGTCGTGGTCTAACTCGGACGTTCAACGCTTACTACATATGCTTGTTCTGGACGATTATTTGCGAGAGGCTTTGATTTTTGTACGAGATATTCCACTGGCCTATTTGAAGATTGGCGTTCAAGTCGAAAAGCTTATGAAAGGAAATGTACGAATTCAATTTGCCACTGAGAATGCGAAAGGCAAAAAGAGTAAAAAGACTGATGTCAATCTCAAAGACAACAGAGCCAACTCGTCAACAAATGAAGAGGTCAAGCGTATCCAAGAGCAATGCTATCAAGATTTGCTACAGAAATGTCACGATATGGCACAGGCACGAAATGTTACGGTTGGCAGTGTTATGAATAATCAAGCACTAAAAATAATGGCTGAACAAATGCCAACGACCGAAGCTGAAATGATGAAAATTCCGCACGTCACCAAGGCCAATTATGAGAAATATGGAAAAGAATTGTTGGACATTTTGGAGCATCACAGTGGCGAAAAGGCATTGGTTGAATTGGATATGGATGCATTAGAGCAACAAATTGAAGATACATCAGATCCATCTGATCATGATATGACGAATTGGTCATCGTTGGCATCATCGGCTGGAACTAGTGCCGGTAGTGGTGGAATGGGCGGAAGGAAGCGAAAACGGGGTTTCTCCAGTTTTCGTCGGAAGAAAGGCACCACCAAAAAAGCAGGCACACCGAAGAAACGACGTACAGCTGCGAGAACACCAGCGAAGAAAACAACAAAAACAACCACTGCAAATCGAGGAGGAAGTAAATTTACTCTACTCAAACCTCGTGTTTTCAATACATAATCAAATCATAAAAAAATAATAATTGATAAGTTGTTATTGTTTAAATTGCTCTCTCATAATTCAAAATTTTTATATGTGCACTTTTTAAAAAAGAAATCCGAATTGATAGCTGAATGAATAAAAATGATTTTTTCTATAAATTTTCTCTTTCAATAATTTTTTTTGAAATCAGGTCTATGACACCCCGAAATGGAAGTTGAAAATTTAAAAATTAAAT